AGCCTCGCTGTCGACAAAGTCAAGCGGAGCTTATAGTATTATTGATTGTCCGTCGCCGTCGTCAACTTTACATTTTCGACTTCTCCTTGAAAACTGCTTGTCCAATTGCTTTGATATTGTATTTGTAGGTGTATCAGGTAGACCTCTGTCAAATTTGTTGATTTTGTAACAATATCTTCAATTCTCTAATTTTGATGAATATTTTTGTCATTTTTGGTAAAAAATCATATTTTCGACTTCTCCTTGAAAACTGCTTGTCCAATTTCTTTGATATTGTATATGTAGGTATATCAGGTAGACCTTTGTCAGATTTGTTGATTTTGTGACAATATCTTCAATTCTCTAATTTTGATAAATATTTTTGTAATTTTTGGTCAAAAACGTTATTTTCAACTTCTTGAAAACTGCTAATCCGATTGCTTTGTAACTTTATTTGTATGTACCTTGGGTGAATCTGTCAGATTTGGTAATTTCATGACGATATCTTCAAATCTCTAATTTTAGTGAATACACAAATGTATTTGTGTCATTTTTCGTAAAAATTTTATTTTCAACTTCTTGTTGAAAACCTCTAACCTGATTGCTTTGTAAATTTATTTGTAGGTACCTTTGGTGGATCTCAGTCAGATTTGTTAATTTCATGACGATATCTTCAATTCTCTAATTTTAGTGAATATTTTTGTCATTTTTGGTAAAAAATGTTATTTTCAACTTGTTCTTGAAAACCTCTAACCTGATTGCTTTATAACTTTATTTGTAGGTACCTTTGTTCACTTTCTGTCAACATCTTCAATTTTCTATTTTTAGCAAATATTTTCGTCATTTTTCATCAAAAAACATATTTTTGACTTGTTCTTCAAAACCAGTAGTCCAAATTCTTTGATACTTGTACACATGCAGCTTGGTTAGACCTCTATTAGATTTCTCCATTTCGTAAAAATATTTTCAAATCTCTTTTAGTGAAATATTCTCTGCAACAAAATCAAGAATGTTGGTGTCTTGCGATATTGAAGCAGCTAGCATTAAGTTTAAATTGCTTCTTAGTCATTGCTTTCAGAGCATGCATCACAAACAGCGGAGTTATATCAGCCGGCAGACTGCTACGGTAGTTATTAAAATTGTATAGTTTTTCAACTCTTGCAGTGCTAGTGCAAATCAAATTGCTTGCATTATCTGAATGTGCACAAAGTTGTTTAACCTTGTAAGATGATTGGCTTAATTTACTCAGTTATCAAGAGTTGAACTAGAATTCTTTTTTGTGTTGGTCTGATCTTTTCCCATTAATGTTAAACCATGCGTTTTATTGGAAAATGGGCAAAAATACATACAATTGTAATACCGTACATGCAAAACCTTTTTCAGGTCAGG